TGCAGAGCGACTAAGTCAGCGCACCACGACTGCTGAGCCGTGCCCCACGCTCTGGAGCTTGGAGTGGCAACCAGTGAACCCACAGCCTCAACCACTAAAGCCCACATGCCCGAGAGCCCGAGCTCAACAAGAGAGCAGCCTCCATCACAGCAACTAGAGAAAAGCCCAGGCAGCAACGAAGGCCCAGATGGCCTAAACAAATAAATAAAATTATTTTAAAAAAAAGAAAAGAGTAAGCTTAAATTTCTTCAGTACCAATGACTTTCAACACTGTTTTTAAAACAACTCTGCTCTGATGAGCCTCCACCAACTAACCTTTGGATCACACCCAAGGAAGTACTCATCACCCAAGGAAGTACTGCAGCAGAAGAACCTCACTTCAACATTAACTCTCAAAGACAAGGACTTGAGAATTTAGAGTAAAAACTCCCTGACTCAGAAGGCAGTTAATGTGTACTTCACTTTGGCCCAGGGATGGACTCAAGGTTTCTTTCATACTACCCTGAAACTTGATCTGAACAGGGTTATCTATTCCCTCTGGATCTCAGTGTACTTTCCTGCTATAAAAATGTTTTGGAATAGTTCTCTCTCCCAGGAAAGGGTATTTACCTAAATTGCAGCAGGTACATGTAACTTAAAAGCAATCATCTTCAAGTATCTTTGAATGCATGATTAGCATTCAAATCTACGGCTTCATTATAACCCAGCCTTACGTTTGCAGCAAATCAGGCAACGCAAGGACCAGTATTTGGCAACTAAGTCTTTCAAACGATAACTAAAGTAAGATAGCAGAAAATGTTTACGTAGCATTTGCTGAGTGCCAGGCACTGCACTGGACATTTTACATGCATTAACTCAGTTAATTTCTTTTCTTGAGGAAGAAGTTCCATTACCTCTACTTCACAGATGAAAGCAAAAAGAAAGAAACCTGGCCAGGGCCTAAACACAATTGTCAAGAGGCACTGCCAAGATCTGAACTTGGGTTTGATGGTTCTCACAATCCAAGCTCACAGTCTGCTCTGTGTTGCTTCTGAAAGAAGCCTGAAATTAAAAAGATGACTGTAACTAACATAATCACAGGCCACAGTGATGAAAAGAACCTGATTCACAATGCAGGAAACTGAGGCTCCTGAGATAAAATGACGAGCTTGACCTTTTTAAACCAGCTTCTTAATCACAGAGACAAGGCACTAGACATCCCAAGAGACAGCTTTAGGTGCCTCCTACTGCACTGCATCACAAAGGGGATCACACACAGCACTTCTCATTACCCTCACCTCTCAAGTGGGTAAACACTGCCTCCAAGTATGCCTCCATCACGAAGTCTTCACCATAACTTATGAATTTTTGGATATCTTTAAAATTTATTTTCACAATGAAACTAAAGCCAAGTAAATAATGTGTTCAAAGAGGAAGACAGAATCACCACCAAGAAGAAATGAAAAGCAGGTCAAGACACCCTGTTCAGGAAAATTATTCTACATTTTAATAATATAAGTCAACTCTGAAAGTGACAGTTGAATCAGTGACAACCATAAATTTTCTAATCTGATTAAATATATTGGATTCAATGTTCCAAATAAAGGTTGCATGTTTAAAGGGCCATTAACGTCAAAAAAAATTTACCATTAACACTTCCTCTTCTAAAAGAGTCTTAATTTTACTATTAATGAACTGTGATCACTAACTAGGTTAGAAGTTGACAATAACAACACACACTTCAGAAAACAAAGAACTTGAGTCAATCTTAAAATCCTGCCACTGTGTTCCTCTAGTTAGAAGACAACAAACAGGAAGAGTACCAAACAAGGGATCAAAGAAACACGGAGGCTACCGCTTCTTCCTCTGCATGTTTATTGGGAAGACCATGGAATTACTTAACATTTTTGTATAGAAGAACACTACTAGTTTCAAAATAAATTATGTTTTGCCAATGCAGGAAATAACTGACCAGAGGTAGGCTAGCATAAGCACTCTTCCCTCTTATTTACTGTATGCTTATTAAATTCTAGGGCTTCCCTGGTGGCTCAGATGGTAGAGTCTGCCTGCAATGCGGGAGACCTGAGTTCAATACCTGGGTTGGGAAGACGCCCTGGAGAAGAAAAAGGCTAACCACTCCAGTATTCTGGCCTGGAGAATTCCATGGGCTGTATATTCCATGGGGTCGCAAAGAGTCGGACACGACTGAAAGACTTTCACTTCACTATTGAATTCTAAAAGAAACCAAAGCCAACTCAGCATACGACATGGCATAGAGCATGAAACAGAGTATGGACAGTCTGGACCCCACAATGGAACAAAGATAAAGATATGAAACTGCATTCTGTCTTTGTTTTTAAACCTACCTGATAAAACTTGTTCACCATTATAAACAAAGATGTTATTTTAACTACCGAGTTCTGGTCCAGTGGTCCAGTTTAGGTCTTCATTAGGTAATAAGACATGAGGCAGCACTCCAGGATGACAGCGCTGTCCACTTTGTTCACCGTGTGAGGAGTGACAGAAATGCATCTTCCCTGGACTATACAGGGAATTTCAAGCGGATCTAGTTTCAACCATTTGTTTTTAAAGCTAAATAGGGTCAAGTTGGGAGACTGTGGGTAAACAAAACCTGACCTTAAAAAAAATCAACATTCTTCCACTCATACATCTTTACAGAGATAAGTTTTTCTGTTGTTTTTTTTTTTAAAGTAGCTTCCTGATGAGTTTCACATTCACTAGTCTGTTCAAATTGTGGTAAAAAAAATACATAAATAAATAATGATAAATTTTAAAAAATAAATAAATAAATATGCATTCAAAACTCAGGAAGAGAAAAAGAAAAAGCAGTAACAATCACAATCTCAATTCCTTATTATTCCTAACTTGTACTCATGGGAAAAAAACTAAGTCCAAAGACCTAAAAAAAAATTTGCTTGACATGAAACAAAACTGGTGTGTCATTTCTATTTCGAAATGGAAGCTGTTATTAAGGTATGAAACTCTTCCCTTAGATTTTAAGTTAAATGAGAACACATCTTTTTAAAAAAGAAATAAATAAGTAGTAAAAAGTAAAGTCCTACAATCTCCAGCCATGCCTAGCAATTTGTCCCACTGCTCAGGATAGCGAAACAGGGCTTCAAATTATTTCACACCAGATAGATTCCTTTCCAGATTAAAACAAACACAAAATAGGAAATGTTAATGCCAAGAGCCAATCAAGTGACAGTAAGACCATACAGAAAAACATTTGCAGTTTTATTCCATCAAAACTGCAAGGACAGCTCAAAATATGATCCTATTACATGTGCTGTTTCAAAGAGAACAACTCCAAAGAAGTCTGCCTCATTCCTAACAATGAAGAGCTAGGCATCAACATTTAGGACAATATCAGAAATCTAATTCTCGCTGTTGCCATCAAATATGCACTTATCTTTACTCACAGCCAATATATTTAAATAAAGCTTTCAAAATGAATGTAACCAAAATGTACCCAAAAACTGACCAACTTACTAAAAGATGTGTACAACTTGATATTTTTTTTTAAATATGTGGGGGAAACTTGGTGAAGAGCTTTGCTTTATGGTCTGTGTATTAAAACAAAGATGGACTTGACCTACAAAATGAAGATAGGGTCAACTGTAACCAAAAAAACAGTATGCTTCCCCTGGTGGCCAACCGAGGAATGGAGAAGGCATGCACAGGGGAGAAGCAGCCTGGCCTGGGAGTCCCATCCTGTCGCTCTTATAAATGAGAAGTGACGACCAAAAAAGGAAGAGGTGGGGGAAGGGGAAACTATAGGAAGACTAACCGAAGTTTAAAAGGAATATAAACCTGGGCGTCAGACAACAGACACTTTAAGAGATTTAAATCGTCAACAGACCAAAACTGTAGAAGGCAAATGCGGGAAAGGTCATTTATTTCCAGAGAACCCAACAGCTCACTCAGGGATGCCTACGTATTTTCACTTCAAAGAACACCCAGAGTTTCATACCTTAATAACAGCTTAAGAGCAATCGCCTTTTTCAAGGGCTAGATCCTGGCAATTTTCTGCAGTCTTGTTTCCAAGGAAAAGCATTTATGCATTTATTCTCTCAAATAAACTCGTGGTGTAACCTACATAGAGAACCACCAGTTCTAAAGCCCTCCAACCAGGACTGTTAACTCAGTTCCACAAGGTTCTCTTTTGAATTTGATTTCTGAAATAAAACCCACGTCCTTTCAAACATTTTCCACGCCAACAATCTTTAAAGACAGTCTTATACGGAGACAAGCTAGAATCTCACTGACGAATTCCTTTGTCTGGTAGGATTTTTCTGGTACTTTGAATTTGCTTGCACACAGAAGAGCAACAAGGGTAGCAAATGTTCCAAGCAAGCCGGCTGGGATGCCTTGGAGGTGTTAGGCTAAAGCTTTCTGAGGTTCTAACCTTTCACAACCCCTTCCTTTAAAAAAAAAGAAAAAGAAAAAAGGAAATAACACACACGTTTACAAATAGGTCCTAAAAATCAAACTGCCACCAGCAAGCCTCTCTTCCCCGGGCAGGCGCCCTCTGGGAAGCACACTTCTTTTACTAACTGGTTTTGGGGGGAATCTCAGGACGGGAGGGTAGTCGGGGGCAGGCAGGAGCCCGGGGGCCGGCAGGAGAGGGCACGCGGGGCAACCTTCCGCAGAGAGGCGGGTCCGAGGCCGTCCCGAGCCCTGTGGCGCTCGCAGGAAGCTAAGTCTCCGGCTCGCGGCCACCCCCGCCCGGTCCCGGCGCGGCTCGCGCGGACCGGGGACGCCGGAACCCCGGGCCAGGTGGCCAGGTGTGGCCGGCGCGCCGCCGCCTCGCGTCCGACCCGCCCGGGCGACCCTCGGGCCTCCCTGAGGTGGGGGGCGGGGGGCCCGGCCCGCCGGCAGGACACACTGGCACAAGCGTCTCCCCGCGGACGGCAGGACCCACACCCACAGAAAGAAAACTTGTCCGAGGCCGTCCGCCCCCTCGGGTCGCCGGCCGGCCGGCCCGGAGTGCTACTCACCGGGGTCGAAATCGGGCACCACCGCCTGGTACTGGGGTCCGACCCGCATGCCGCCGCCACCTGCGGGAAAAGCAGAGGGGGGCGGTCAGCGCGCGGACGAGCGGGCGGGGGCGGCGCGGGCGGCTGCCACCTACCGTGCTCCTCGTCGCTGGACGAGCCGGAGCTGCCTTCCTCCCAGGAGTTGCTGCTGCTGTTGCCATTGGGCGCCGCCGCCGCCGCCAAACTTTTATTCTGCCCATTATTGGGGGCGGCGGCGGCCGAGGCGGAGGCGGCGGCCGAGGCGGCGGCGGCCGAGGAGGCGGCGGCGGCCGAGGCGGCGGCGGCGGCCGAGGCGGCGGCCGAAGCGGCGGCGGCGGCCGAGGCGGCCGCGCTGGAAGCGTTGTTCCTCCCTCTCCGCTTCCCTGAGACCTCGGGGCCCTTCTCCACCATGGCCGGCATCGGCGGGGGGCCCGAGCCGGGCGAAAGTGACAGGGGACCCCGCGGCTCGAGGAGGCGGGGGTGGGGGTGGGGGGCGCGCCGGGCCGGGGGAGGGGGTGCGGGCGGGCGCGGCCGGAGCCCGCGGGCGCGAGTTGGGGCTGAGGCGGCCCTGGCGGGCGGAGCGCGGAGCCGCTTCAGGCCCCCCGGCGCCGAGCCCAGCGCAACTTTCGCTCTCCTCGCCGCCCGCACTTCACTGGCTGTAACTACTCCGGGAGCAGCGAGCGGGAGGGGAGGGGGGCGGGGCCTGGGCCAGCAGTGAGTTGAGGCGGGGGGGGGGGGGGGGGGGGAAGCCGCGCGCAGCCCAACCCGGCGCGGGGAGGGGGTGGCGCCGCCCTCCGCGCGCCCCCACTGGCTCTCGTGCGATTTGGACGGCGAGCGGCAGCCCGGTTGGCTGCGCGCAGCCGTCCGTCCGAGGGGCCGGGGCGGGAGAGCGGGGAGGGGGGTGGCGCCAGGCTTCCGTTGGTCAGGTTCGGTTGACGCGTATCGACCGCTGTACGTGGTTTGAGGTTTGCCGTCTCTCTACGCCCCATGATCCATCTCTCTAGGCAATAGCGAGGAGTTAGCCGCCCTCCCCGCCCCCTCCTTCTGCCGGCAGCCCCCCCCGCCCCGCTTCCCTGCGCGCACCCCACCCCCACCCCGCGGCCCCGGCCCCTGCGTTCCCCGGAGGGCTCCGCCGAGAGCCCCACCGGTTTCTTGAAGGGAAACACGAGCGACGCGAGAGCGGAGACCGAAGGCGAGGTCGGGACTACTTTCCCCCTCGCGCGGAGGACTACCTCTCGCAGTTTGAATGGGTTCTTATACAAAGAAGGGAAACTAATTGGAAGAAACTAATTGCGGCCCCACCGTTCCCACGGGGTTTTTTTTGGGGGGGGGGTATCTCCGCGCAGCGGAGTGCAGGGGGACAGAGTTCCCAGGTGGCGGTGTCTCCTGGAGTCGGAGGAGGCAGTGTGGGAGCTCGAGGTGCGGGGTGGGGTTTTGGTGGGGCTTTCTGCTAATTGGGGGGTGGGGGGGACGTTGGAAGTCGCCGCAATCGCCTGAGTTTCGGGGCGCCGCCGCGTCTGCGAGGCCAGAGGGGAGGGTCCTGAGCGGGGACGCTGCCCGGACGCAGAGTCAGGGCGCGGGGTGGGTGTGGGGGGGGGTCCCCCTGCCATCCCAGAGGGCCGTTTGGAGAGCTGTGAAGGGGCCGGATTGTCCTCGGGGGGGAGGGGAGCCCTTAGAAAACGGGGACGGGGGGCTTACAGAGACGGGCTGGGGGTCCAAGAAGGGTAAAGGGGGCAGAAGCCGTTTTCATCCCAAGCCCTCGGTAGGGGGAGGAGGGTCAACTTCCTCCGAGGCAGGAGCCACTTTTCCGGATCTGCCGCCTGCCCGGCCTCCGCCGCTCCACCCTGGGCACCCCGGTGAGGAAACGCTCGACCCAGCCCGAAACATCCTCGCCCTGGACAGTGACCAGCTGTGGGCCCAGGGGCTGCTTTTATAGCTGTGAGGGGGGATGGGAGCGTGTGTGACCCCCTCCCTCCCCCACAGGTCTATCTCCGCCACCCCCACCGACTCCCCCAAACAACGCGTGCACATAATCGGGAGGCGAGAGGTCTATAAATGAGAAGAAATTTTTTAATTTTAAATGCAGCGGATGGCTATTTTCCTTTTAAGTTACTTCGAACCTGCGCTTAATATGGGGACAGTTTACACCAGCTCTGGTTATAAATAGCTACAGGGAGAAATCTGGAATTTGAAGATTTTAAAAGCCTGAATAAATAAGCAGGATGTTCTCCACATTTTCTGCGGCATGGACCGTCATTATTACTTCAGTGAAGTGACCACGTTCAGTTCTGCCCGAAAGGCCTGTAAGAAAAGGCACTGTGCCCTCGCCATGGAGGAGACGTGCCCTCGCCATGGAGGAGACGTGCCCTCGCCATGGAGGAGACGTGCCCCCACCGGGCTCAGGGTCTCAGCTCCTGGATTCCCCTTAAAAGGACACCCGTCTCCTTGGAGAGCCCAGGTGGTGCAGGTGTGTGTGCCCCCCCCCCCCGCCCCATAACTCCCCACTAGCTGGAGTGGGGGGACACAGGCAGCAAAGCCCAAGGTTAGAAACCAGAAGTGGCCTTCACACCTGGCTGAGGGCTGTGACTCATCTCCGGGGGAGTACTGCGAGGAATGAGGTTGAGAACACTGCCCTGCTCACTTGGTGTCTATGGAGCTTTACCAGCAGGCTCTGGAGAAATTAGCCTAGGAGGAGGGCACAAAGCTGATACTGAGTCATTTACCAGGGCCACAGGGAAGACACGGGACGTGGGGTCACCAGTCCCACCTATACCGAACCCCAAGGTTGGAGCTACTTCCTAGCTGGGTAATGACAGGGCATACATCACTGGGCCTTCCAGCCAGTCACTTTTTTCAACAAGTATATAACAGCTAATTGTGCCAAGCCCCGTTCTAGTTTGACCCCAAAGTCACACAGAATGCCATACTGGCTTTGACCCTCTCAGCTTCCTGGTCTGTAAAACACAAATAATAGTACTTACCTCCTAGCCTGGTGGCTTTTTACCAATTCCATCTCCCCATCCCCTCTCCTTCCACCTGAAGCAACCCTGCAACCTAAAGGAAAGCCCCTTTCCTGCCCCTGCCTCTTGTTGGGGGGCAGGCAAGGGGGCCCACATACAGCCCTTCTGATTGGGAATCTGTGATGTCAGTCTTCAAGCTGGCAATCCACAGAGTCAGCAGCCCTACCATGTTTTCCGGGGACACTCTCCCCCACCCTCTGAGACTAAGATTTCACACCCTCTTCCCTCTCCTTACACACCTCCCACAGCCCTTCTGCCCTCAGTCCCAGCAAATGACCTCACCTCATGTCTTCAGTGAGAAAAACTGAATCCGTCAGATGGGGTCTCTCATCGTCCAGTACCCAAACTGGCACATCTCCCTACCTGGCATCCACCTCCCCCTCAGGCTCTCCCACCCGTATCTTGATCTCAAGCACCCACCTCCTGCTGCCTTCCCCTTGCTGCTCTCCTGTACCATCAGCCTCTCTCTCTTTTCCCTTGGGTACCATTTTCAAAAAAAAGGGGGGAGGGGGGACTCACCATTGCTCCCAAGCCCCCTTCTGCCTGCTCTCCCCACCCCCTACAATAGAAAACTCCAGAGACTAGTCTAAACCTGCCTTCTCTACTCCCTCCCTTCCCAGTCTCTCCTCACCCCACCTCAGCAGGGCTTTATCCCTACCCTTAGCTATTGCTGAGGTCACCCACAAGCTCCCTCCTGCCCAATCCAGCGGTCACTTCCTGTTCTCACTGCACTTCTCAGCAGCACCTGGGTCTGCCACTCCTCCCTTGGGAAATTCCCTCACTTCCCTGGACCCTGGTCTTCCTCCTCCTCTCCACAGACCACTCCCCCGTCAGCCCCCTTTGCAGCTTGCACCCTCTCCTTCCGACTTGCAGGTGTTGGGGTTCCTCCCGGACCCCCTTCTCTCTGCCTGATATATCGTAGGAACTCGTTAAATATTTGTTGAGTGAAAAGTAATTTTAGGGAACACAGGCTGCCCGTGCGTACACAGAGCAGGAGCCAAGCCCAGGGAGGAGAGGGTTCCTGGCACAGGTGAGGTCTGACGGAGACAACGTGAAATACGCCCTTGAGGAGGACCTTGGGTTTTGTCAGCCCAGCATCTCCCAAGAGGCAGCCATGCGCACCACCCTCTCCCAGCTGTTGGCTTGGGGCTTCCCCATCTCTGACCAGGACGTGACCCAGGTCTAGCCAATCAGAGGGCCCCAGAACTCTGGCTGCAGTGATTGGCCCCACAAGGGCACATGACCTGGTGAGGCCAATCAAGGCTCTCGCCTGAACTTTTTCTTGGAGCTCTTAGGGAGGAAGGGATCTCACTCCCTGAAATCAGGACCCGAGGTTCTAAAGCCTAGAACTTCCAAGGCCAGGCCAGGGATGGGACAGGCGAGACGGGCCGCGGGGCCAGAAGCTGGAGGAGGCGCTTACCCTGTGGGGGCTCGCTCGCCCACGCCAGTGTAGGCCCTGTTCCAGGGAGCTCTTCTTACACCCCCAGTCTATGCAGAAAGGCCAGTTGAGTCTGATACAGTCTTCTGGCCTGTCCCCACTGCCCACGCCCCGTAAGCCAGTCCTGAAACCCTGGGTTTTTAAATAGAGCCATTGGCGATCCTGCTACAACTCAAAGAATCCTGAATGATACAAGTAAGTAAGCACTAACCTAGTGTAGGAGGAGAGAATGGATATGCTGTGCTGTGCTTAGTCGCTTAGTCACGTCCGACTCTTTGCGACCCGGGGGACGGTAGCCCACCAGACTTCTCTGTCCCTGGGGATTGTCCAGGCAAGAATACTGCAAGGGGTTGCTGTGCCCTCCTCCAGGGGATCTTCCCAACCCAGGTTGGGAAGGCCTGGGAATCAAACCCGGGTCTCCCGCATGCTGGGAGAGAAATAGCACCTTCTCTCCTGTGAAAGGCTTAAAGAAAATAGCTAATGTCTTCAGGAATATAACTCTGCCTGGTTCTGTTCTCCGGGTAGAGATCCTGGGTTCTTTTAATTCAACCAATAATCCCATGGGGCTCATCCATGCCTTGTAGGTAAAGAAACTGAGTCACCTAGAGGTGAAGTCATCTGTCTGAACCACACGGCCCCCCGTGCCCCACAGCAGGTCTCAGCCACAGAGCCATGCAAGCCACATGCCTCACCAGAGACCTAGGAAGGCAGGGAGGACAAAGTTTGAGGATGTGGGTAAAAGACCTTGTTTGATTCTACACATACAGTGCGAGCGTGCCTGTGTGCGTGCTCGGTCATGTCTGACTCTTTTGCAACCAGCTAGTCTCCTCTGTCCATAAGATTTCCCAGGCAAGAATACTGGAGTGGGTAGCCGTTTCCTTCTCCAGGGGATCTTCCCAACCCAGGGATCTAACCCTCGTCTCCTGCGTTCGCAAGGGGATTCTTTACCAACTGTACCATCT